AGTAAATTAAATACATTTACTATCATATGTTCGTTTATTTTATTGAAGTATTATTTGGGTTGCAAAATCTCAAAATAATTGTATTCTTATATAAATATTACTGAGTTAGCAATATTTAAATAGAATTTTTAGAAGTCTTTATATAGTTTTTAATATTTTCAATTATAATTCCGCTAAGATTTTCTCCAAAAGTGTAGATCTGCCTTTGCTTTGAAATGATGACTTTCTTCTCAATATTGCGGCTATAGATCATTCCTTATTATCCTCTGGCTATTTAAAAATAAATTATTTTACAATCTAATATTAATATTACGACTAGCCCTTTTCATTAATTAAATATTTTCTATTTAATCCTAGTAATTTTAAACCTAGATTCCAGCCTCACTTTTTAGTAATTTTTTGAACTTTCATTTCCTACTCCTCAATTAAGAATATTATTCTTGAAAAAAAAAAGCACATCCAGCCAATTTGCCTTAACTCTTACAAGTTCCTCCTCATTTTCTTCTAGCGATGAAATTTTTGTTTTAGAACTATACATTCCTGCTTTTTAGAACAATGGATTAATATCTTTTTATATTTATTCTCATTTTGGTCTATATGTTTCTATATCTATTTAACACCTTCCTCCAACACAATTCAAGCATAAATTCGAATAACTAGAATTTTTAGATAAAATCCTTTCTCAAATAGATGATCTTTTTTTTCCTAAGCTCTTTGGATATGAAGTTTATTCATAATCATTTTATTTAGTATCAGATTACTTAAAAAATATTAATATATAAGAAAAGGATTAAGTGTTAAATTAATTTTAGACTATATTATTAAAAGAAAAGAATTGAACGATATAAAAGAATAACATTTATAAATTATTAGATAACAATAATTTAAATAATGTTATAAATTAGATAAGACGATGATGATAAAGAAATTCAAAGATGAATGTAATAAATATTGATATTTTTACATAGAAAACAAAGTTATATAGGAGTTTAATCAAAATTTAACTTAAAAAAATAAGAATTATAGGAGGCATTAAACAAGCTTGATTAAATTAATAAAGTTAAGTTAAAATGAGAAAAATAAAATAAATTGGAATTAGAAAAAGTATATTTCTAATCAATTTATTATATTATTTTTCGATTCAATTATATAACAAATCATTATTATATTCAAATACTTATAAGCATACTAATTGTTAAGTAAGTGAAGGAGGAAAAGTTGTGGAAATTAGCAATACTTCTTGGTGTTTTTGTCTTTGTGAATAAGCAATTCCAAAGACTGGGAAAATATAGTTTGCATTTTAAATGATAAGTGGATCAAGTTTTATAGTTGAAATAGGATTTAGAGAGATTATGTAGAAAAATAATTATTATGATTGTAATAAAACTGGGTATGTGTATATATTTATATTCTAATAGAACATATTTAATAAAAGAAGATTGTTATACTTATTCTCATCATACCAAAAATCTATAAAGTAAAATTATCATTCTAATTTACAAATAATGATATAATAATAATTGAAGTATGTATTGAACATAAATATATTAAATGGAGTAGATATAATAATCCATAAGCAACATTTGTTGTAAATATAATATCGATTATTAGTTGTTGGATATAGATTCATCACAGCAATTATACCCATGTGTGGGTGTTTATTGTGCATCTAAAATAAAATTATTAAATAATAATATACCAGTTTGATGATGAATAATATAAAAGATATAAACAAATATTATTTTATAATCCTAAATCATTAAATATAAGAAGTTTACTGGTTGTATTTTGAATAAAAGGATATTTTAGATATGAATGCAATTGGTTTGGACCACTTTAAATAATTTTATAAGACTGCCTAAAATAAAGAAGTCTTCAGAGGAATAGATAAATATTCCATATAAACCTATTTTTGAGAAGGTAGTAATGGATATTTTTGGTCATTTTTAGTTTTTACTACACTAATATTTAGGTAATGATAAATATTTCAATTATTAAAGAAAATATAATATTAATCATGACTTTTATCAATTTATTTAATATATATACAATATTTAAAGATAATAATTTTAATTAAATATGTAAGGATGGAATTATGTAATTTGTATATTTATTCTTAATAAGAGATTCTTAAGAAAAACTAGATATAGAAAGCTTCATAAATTATAGAATATTAAACTGATCAATAAAATAAATAAATCAATCAATTTAATTTTCTAATAATAATAATAATTTGGGTATTATAATTAATCATTTTGAATGGAATCTTATTTTTAACTTCAATTACTGTGACTTTAGTAATGAAGTATGCATCATTGATGACGTATTCAGTTTATGACATCGTAATAAAAATTTCGTAGACAAAGGTTCTGGAACAACCAAACTGTCTTCCTATTAATTGGACAGAGGAATAAGGGAGGCGATAAGCACACGTAAATGCCTCTTATTAAGAATCAGATTCAAACAGTATGGAGATATGTAAAGCCGAAGCACTGACAGACTGACGATCTTCCTGATGTAATTCTTTAGAATGAAGGTTGGAAGGACTTCTCCATACCTGTACAAGAGAACTGAAAATGCTCAATCTTTCAGAGCACTTTCCAACTCAAAGCTTTGACTATGGATTCGCAGCCCTGAACCTTACTTTCAATTCACACCAGGTTTCAAGCAAATGAATAATTTCATTAAAAATAATTTTAATTTTCTAATTTGTTATATTAGAAGGTCAGCATCATGAAATTAATTTTGAATTACTATTCATTTTAATAAAAATGTCAGGAAAATTATTATGATTTTCAAACTTTTAATATTATATTCTAAACTAATTTCTACCAAAAACTATTCAATAAATAAATATGAAATTTATTTATAAATTATATATTTTATTATAATATATATCATAGAGGTTAATTCTTTTTAGAGATGATAAATTAAATTATTTTACCACTATCAATTCTGACTTAATGATATGTAAAATAATACCAATCATTGATTCCTTTTTTTTTGGTCAATTGATTTGCTTTAAATTATTTAATGGTAATTTCTTTATTTAAATATAAATGTAATAGGTTGATGAGTTCATCAAAGCTATTCAGTTTATAATAACTAGAAAGTGATGAGATATTTTTGTCTTGATATTAATTTCTGTTAAAAATCATCTTTACATATATTTTCTAACAACTTAATTCATAATGTTGATTTATAACCTCTTTATAAACAGTTTAGATTTTCTTTCACTCGCAAAAATATCACAAGTGGTTAGGAGAAAATATTTTGCAGACTTCTGTAATTTTGACAGATAATTGAATCTTGGAATTCAGCTCTGGGTTTTTAAGAAGAAAATATTGTTTGGTGAGGCTTCCTCATCATTATTTATTTAACAATAATTCTGAAAAAATTAATTATAATAATATGAGACTATTGATATATCTTAAATTATAATTCTGAACTGGGTGTCAATTTAATGTTTATATATTTGAATTTCTATCTATTCTTTCTTATAAAGAATACCTAAAACAATTAATTCCAAAAAGATTTTTTGAATCTTTTAACTTTTGACATTTTTGGGATTATTCAAAGGATTTAATTTAATTCTTTTCGAATTAAATTTTAAACTAAATAATATTAAGTTAGTCTTTATATTTTAAACTAATACTATAAATTTTACAATGGTTGGTTTTGATCTAATTTAATTACTTCTATAAGATCTTTAGAAACATTAATTTGCAGTATTTGACTAATAAAAACTGTTTTTTAACAAATTTTTAGCCTAAATAACAACTTCAAATCCTTTATATGAAATTTAAGAATTGAGACTTAAATTTAACTTATACTCTATATATTAGCAGATTTCAAAATTTACTATATTAATTTATCTTAATATTATAATAAAACCATAACAAGATATGAAGATAATCATAAATCCTTTTATATGATTTATAATATACATTAAAATATTTACTATAGATGAAGTAGATTGAAAAAAAATTTATTCAAATATATTGAAAAAAGTAAAATTTTATTTTTGATGAATTTCCTTTTACTTCAAATTATTTAGAAAATAAAATATTAATCTTATATTGATTAAAATAATTACTTAAAAAAATTAGCTAACTACGACTGCTTAGTAAATTGTAATTTATAATGGTGGATAACTATGTTTATAAAATTAAAGAATAAAAATGAATTAATTATAATAATGCTGTTTGTAATATTTCAAAGGAAAAACAAATAATACCTTATAAATAAAGCTTAAAAGTATGAGATTGAGACTACGAGGTTAGTAGTAATAGATTGATAAGAACTTAAACATTGAGATTACAATTATTAAGTATTAGATACCTTGGAGGAATACTAAAATATTGTAATGTTCTTCATGGCACTTAAATTTAATCTTTGCAGTTAATACTTAATTAATATTGAACTCTTTGCACTATTAAACATTGTGTTTCAAAAATACTTAGTTTCTGAAACATAATATTATTTATAATTATTTTTGAATGTTTTACGCTTAAATTATGAATAAGACTCTATTCAACATTCATTCATTTATATTGTTGAACGGGTATCGAATATTCGAATATTAAAGTCAATAAAAATTATAACTCTTTAGTCTATGATAATAATTGAATATATGTGAATTAATATTTATTAATTTTTCTAAGCTAGCTTATTCACTTTTGGAATTTTGATCTTCTTCATCTTCTTCTAGTCATTCCAAATCAAGGAATTTCTTTGAAAAAAAATTTTATTTTAGTATTTTATGAACTTAGGTTTTGATTTCATTTTACATTTTCCAACAATTCTCCTTTTAAGAATATATGATTAACCTCTAAAATTTCAATTTTATTTTTATAGGCATCTGCAATAAGTTAATATTACTCTATTTTATTGATCTCCAATATCTTGTATGTAAATTTTGAGGAATTTCTTTAAGTAAAAAGTATCCATAAACTCATTACAAGCATTAAAAATCCTCATCTAGAAAATGATCACAATTAATTGCTAAATCTTTTATATGTCACCCTTCATAATTATCCCTGTAGTTTCAATCATATTTATTTCTTCTTACTATTGGTCCTTTTAAGCAAAAAATTAAGTAACGTTTCGAGTGGACAGTAAAAATTAGCATAGAAATTCGCATTAACATCACATACTATAAAGTTAAAATTGTGGGAAATAATTTTGATATAAAAAATAGCTTAAGTGAATAATGTCATTAGTTTTGCCTTCATAATTTCCTAATTTTAATTATAATTCATAATTCATACTGCTCATTCTGAATTAAGGAAGCTGAATCTAGAAAATAGGATCTTCTCTAGAGATACTATTTCTATATTATATGGTCAATTATGCTTTAGTTTTATTTTTTAACTTACAATCGTAACCAGAATCTATTGATATTGAGGTTTACAATTTGATAATCTAAAGTAAATCTTTTTTTTATAATATCTCCTTCTAACTTTATATTTTCATTATTCATTTATAAAGAAAATTACTAATGCTGCTATTTTCTCCATTTTTAAGATAAAATTTATGTTATTTGAGACACTTTAATAACTATGATTTGGTTTTTTTAAAGTTTTCAAATGAAAATCCTGCAAAATTCAGAGCCTAATTGGTTATCAATATTCAATCTATCATCTGCATCCTAATACTTAATTTATTTAATGTAAAATGGAATTGTATTTAATAAACATTTAATCCTTTAAATATCATTTTGATTTCATGTTGTACCTTAGATTTAAATGAAAGTAATTGAATATTCTAAAACCTATGAAATGGCAATTCAAATATCTTGGCATAGTGATTTCACTATCATCATAGTTACTCTCAAAACTAATAATCACAACCTTTTTCTTTGCTCTAAAAATTAATGTTAATAAAAGTGATTTTATAAGTTTTAAAGTAAAGCCTACAGATCAAAAATCCTCTCAAAATATTGTAATAAAAATTCTACTTCTCCTTGAAGTGATTCATCATGAACAGGAATAATGAAAACAGGAAATATTGTCAAGTTGCTTGTGTGAAGGTTGTTATGAAACTAAATGAAATATGAGTTGGAAACTGATTTTCTAAACTCTTTTGAATAAAGCTTAGATTTATTACATTATTCATATAATATCTTCCTCATAATGATTACCATCTAAGAAAAAAACAGTACTTTTCTATCAATTTTTATCTGCATTTTTTCAATTTGTGTTTTTAAGGCAATAAATGTCTGGGTTATATTTTTTGCATTGTTTATTAGATGATAAAAATCACTCCTCCTAGTTAATACGCGATAATATTTTAGAATTTGATGATTTTTTCATGTCTTATCTTAAAATAAATGAGATTTTCAAAAACTTATTATATAATAAAAAATCAGAGAATTTATTAATAAATCAATTAAATTTATAAATATTATATTTCAAAATTTATTTATGCTTTTTATAAACCTAAAGTTCCTTTTGAAAATTTGATTTGATTTTTCAATTTTTAGAATATCAGGATTATACTTCATTTACTATATTATTAGCCTCAGATCTTAGCTCTTCAATCTGATATATATTTTGTATACTATCCTCATCTTTCATTCTTTTCAGACATTTTTAATAAGTACATTTAACATAACTTTAAAATGAAAAATTATTTACATTATATAAACCAGAGAAGAAAATCAATAAAGAAGTTTGAATGAATACTTATTTTTCTTATAATTCCAATCAGATGAAGTAATTGCCCAATGCATTGATATAAATTTCAATATCGATTCTTTAGAGAATTTGTTTATGAGATTAAGTAGAGTGTTAGACTAGGATTTATAAAAATTCACCAGCTTTTTCATACTCTACTGCTATTGGCAACTATGCGACTGAGCACTTAAAGGTTATAATCGTTAAACATAAGGTAGAGTTTATTTATCTACAAGCACTTTAGATAATTTAAGATCGTCTTGGTATATGGATTATATATAAAATTGGAAGCTAATACTTTATCAGAATGTATTAATATTAAATAAAGAGGGGTAAAATGTGGATTGATATAACAAATTGTGTTGATTGAACTTTCTTACTTATCTCATCTGCCGATCATACTTTGAGTATTAGCGATATTATGATTGGTTTGGTAGAGTCAATTAACATTTCGCTCATTCTGCAAAAAATTAGAAAATAATTGAACTAAAACTAATTAAAGGGATATGGTATTTTAGTTTTAAATGTGTTAATTGAGATATCGAGATGTAAATTTCAAATATTTATAAGATATTACTTGGACAAATATCAAATAAATATTAATCTTAATTGTAAGCTTGTTATATCAATCTTCACAGTTTATGCAGCAATTACATAAATACTAAGATATTGATGAATAGGACAATATGATTAAAATATAGAATAAACTAATGGAAATTGTTGTATCTGGAATGATTCTAGTAAAGATAAATCCTGTCCAAATGCTGATGATACACTTTGTTATCATAGTGATACTACTTTTCTAAATGTTTTCATTACATTTAGAAGAATTGTAAATAAAAACAGATTCTAATAATTAAGGGCTCAAGACCAAATAAAATAGGATTAAAGCATTAACCGATGGAATCAAATCTACCAGAGTAGGCTTTATTCTAGGTTATTAATAATATTTGTGAGATGAGCTAGCTCGGCTTATGTTATTACATAAACAAATTACTCAAGGTTTAACAATAGTGTATAAATGTAAAACCAAAGTTTGTAGTTTTCACAGGCCTATTAAATTATGACCTTTTCTAAGAATTGAATTCTTAATATAATCTTAAGTTGATCTTATCAAAATAAATATTTAACTTTCTCAAATCAAGTTTATTAATCATTATTTAATGATTATTTAAGATCATTCCACAAGTACATCTGATTACTTTTTACAGAGAGCTATAGATATTAAGAAACACTTCCGATTTTGGTTATTGAGAATATAATTTTAATTATGGGCCAAAATGATTATTCTATGTAGCTTTAGTTATTCCAATATTATTGTAATTGAGTCAATAAATTGGAGTAAACAGAATAAGAAAAGTAAGAAATAATTGCTAAGATGAGGTTTGATATTTTAGATGTTATTTATTCTGTATTAATTTTCTATTAGATTTACAGATACATATATAGGCATTTATACAGTGTATTATTATAAATAGAAATTACTTTTCAAAATATATTAATTATTTTGACAGATATTTTTATGGTCTTAATACTTGTAATGTCTAAGAAAATTTATCTATAGGAGTGTTTTTTATTCAATATAATCTATATATTCTATTTGATTTTGGAGACAAATTTAATGTTTTGCATAATAAAATTCTAAGCCTATCACTAATTTCATTTGATTTTGATTACTTAATGCTTTGAAAATACTTTTAGTGATAATGATTGACAATAATGATAATTCTTTTTGAAGTATATGATATGAAAATTATAATTTAAGGATTTGGTTAACCTCCAATATTATTTGCCTCAATAAAAAAGTTAGGAGTATATTATGTCATCAGCTGAAAGTTACATGTTTTTATTAAAACTTTCTATAATAATCTCGATTTACAAGACCTTGGCGCCTATGTTTTAAATATTAAATAGATTAACTTATCCTATCTGTTTGTTTTTAAATCTTGAAATATAACTAATTCAGCAATTAATTAAGAGTTAATTTGATTTTAAATTATAAAATTAATCCTACTTTTTATGCATATCAAACATTATATTCAAAATAATTTTCTATTTGAATAGTTATTATTATTTTCAATTCAAATAATTTGTAAAATTGTTAATAATGCAAATTATCTTCCTTCACTTGATTACTCAATAATTTTTATTTAAATCCTAGATTTTCACTAACTTGAATTTCCACTTATTATATCAATCCTTAAATTTCTTAAAGGCATCAATTTACATATTCAAAAGATTCTGAGTGTTATCAAATTCTAAGTAGAACTATCTTATTTAACAGATGAATTATTTTGTATAAAGTTTAAAGAATAAAATATTTATTGAAGATAATACTTCAATAATTTCATTATCATAAAAAATAAACATTAAATAAATATCCAATATAACAAATACGTTTACTGAAAACAGAAGAAAATCATTATTATATCTATTTATATTTCATTAGAAAAATCACAAGCTTAAGCATTCTCTTATTAATTTTAAACTAAAAATAAGCTAAGCTAATATTTAGTATAAATATTATTTCATATCAGCTCAAATCGAAAAAATTTGAGAAGAATTAAAATATGGGTTGTTCAGTATCTAGATAAAAAATTTGAATGTATAGATTAATAAAATAAATAAAAAATTTATAAATCAAAATAACCTAAAATATTTGTAATTATAATTAGATCTAGTCTTTTAATAATAGATCTTACTTTCAAAAAATTGAAATTAATAAAAAGGAATTCTAGAAAATCAAATTATATTTTTTTAATCCATTCATCTTTGTGAACAATGTTTTATAAACTATGTCGATCTATTCTAAATCCTTTTTTTGTTCTTCTCCATAGATATTAATGAAAAAGGCATTAAAATAACTAGCTTCAAGTTATTAATCTTTATTGTTATGAGCAAGTATTTTTAATGATCCCAGACCTGTAAGCAATGAACAATCTTAAGGATAGAATTAAAAAAAAATAATAATCTAAATAATCACCATAGCTCAAATTATTATAGGGCAGGAAATTAAAAAATAGGTAGGAGGAGTAATAATAAGCTGGAATTAGGTTCAATAGGTGTTGCCCTACTTATACTCAAATAGAATATATAAAGGTATTAGCCTGGCTTCATTAAATTTATAATTCTGTGAAAGTTTATTCCTTTTCCAAAACCTAAATAGAGATTTTGATAACCAGACTTGAAAACTGTTTTCAATTCACCTGGAATTCTTGACTCTTGCAACTTTGATAAAAATTTCAAATGTCTTTTGATAAATATTTTTTAATGTTTCGACTAATTAATATTTTATTCTTAAATATTAAACAGTCGAAATAATAGGCGAGTTAATCTCGACTCTAATGACCAAAAATATAAACTAATATATTCAAATAACCATATAAAACAAAAAAATATATTCTATTTAAATATAAAGATATATTTATATCCATTACAAATCTTATATAATATTAATAATCAATCATCATATTTTATCACGTCTATTTCTCAAAAATCTAAGGGATTTTCATCTCTATTCTTTTAAATCCAGGTACCAACTTTTTAACCATGTTTAAATTCTCCTTCGTAAATAGTTTAAAATGTATCTGTAAAAGGATCGTGCAATTCTATCCATTTACCAATCTTAATCATATCACCTTCTTCATCGTATAATCCACCACCACTAAATTAGTTATACATAATAGTTTATATACATCTTTTCTGCTTCAAACTATATCTCCCATTAACCTATTTTCTTGCCATTCTTATATTCCCCTAAATAAGTGACTTATGAAGTATCTCTGAAATTATGACTCAACTCAGTCCATTTCCCAATCTTCCATTCATTTCCTACTTCATCATATGACTCACCACCACTAAAAATTTTTAATTTATCTTACATTTTTCCATTTTTTAGATCATGATAATTTTTCTAATACCAAATATCCCATCTACCAAGCTTTTTACCAAATTTATAATCACTATGATAAGTAACTTACGATATATTATCAAATTCTTCATTTATCTCAATCCATCTCCCAATCTTACACTCATTACCACTCTCATCATATAATCCACCACCACTATATAAAATAATATTTAAGATTCATTTTTACAATACTATATATTACATCGGCTTCTCTCCTATGGTTAAAAAAAACTGAAGATAACGGATAATTAAAATTTTCAATCGCTATCATCATTTATGTACGCTTAAAAGGTAATCTAATGCCTATTATATATCATTATTTTGCTAATATAAATAAGAATTCGAGATACAAAGAGCAAAAATTTAATAATCACTTCTAACTATGATAGTTAGAAAACAAAACTGTTAGTATAATAAGTTGAAATTAGATTTTGATTTTGAAATCTTTTGAAGAAGAGTCTTTTAAATTGTATCTCAAAATTAAATGATTTTAAATGATTTTCAAAATATCTGTTAATTCAAACTTAAACCATTATTTACAATAAAATTAAATAATCATCATTAGATAATCTCCATAGATAATTTTACTTTTTTGTTATATAAATAATCTTTATGATTTCATATATTTAATGCAATTCTCTGAAAATGATAATTCTTTTCAACCAATAGATGCTTCTAATTTTATCATTCATAAAGTTATAAAAATTAATGACTATTTGAATCCTTAAAATAGTGTATCATTAAAAAGGAATATGAAAATAATTATGATAAGGATTATAGTCCTTACAATGAAATTATAAAAAAAAAAGCTGTTTTTGATTCCTTAACAATTAACTATAATTAATAACTTATGGACAGATAGTATTTTTGGAGTTAAAGTGATAAATAATCATCATTAAAAAGCCTATTAATATAAGAAACCAAATTAATAATTAATATGATAATTAAGTAGTATAAGTGAAAAGTATCGCTAACTTTTTAATAGAAATCTGGTTCATTAGGAAAACTCATCTTCAGAATAGAATTAGTGAAAATTCAAGGCAGGATATTTTCCTATTACTGTAGAATGGAATTGGGTCAAAATAAATGTATTTAGCAAAAATATTCAAGTAAAACATACTTCTGTTTTAAGAATGATAAGTTCTTTCCAAAATTAAAACAGAATTTGAACATTTTCTTAAGAATGAGAAATTGGTTATTGATTGATCTCTATATACTTCTTGAGGCCTCATGATAATTAGATAAATTGTATTATGAATGAGATTATTATTATTGATTTATT